GAAAAAGAAATGTTGCGCCGACCCCAAATAAATTGGGATAAGGGCAGGCAAATGATGATGATGATTATATCAAACTTACACTATAATACATAATACAAAACTGCACCTGCGAATTGTCGTTTTGCCGTCCGCCCGCACCGAATACTGTTGTACTCGCTACTAGCCGGCTCACTCCACAAGCTCTAAGCAACCGCCGTCCCCGCCGGCGGGGACGCGGAGGTTCCTCATTTTTGTGCCCTTCTTTGGCAACTACCGGCATATACCCGGTAGACATAGTCCGATCCGTTCTTCCCAGAACAACTCGTAAGCCCAGTCTCGCCCCAAGGGCGTGATTGGGCTGGTTGTTTGAACAACCACCCAAACACATCCGGGTGAGCCCTCGCTCCCCACCAAGTAGTCAGGTGTAGTCATTAGCGGTCCCGGGACCGATTAACGTAGAGTCCAGCAGCAAAAAAAAAAAGTAGCCGGCTCGAAACGGTTCGAGTTGGCGCGTAAACGACTTTGTGTATATGTGTGTGGGAGTGATGACGTTTCCTTGTAGCCGTCTCTCTGTATTTGGCGCCTGCCAATACTTACTTTGTGGTGGGTACTCGTAGGTACACAATTATGTTCGTTTGTTCCCCACTTCAAACGAATTTGGCTAAAGGCGTTCGTTAAAACCATAATGAACCAACCAGTGGCGTTCTTGGCAAAGTTTGTTGTCTTTTTTTACTGTAAAATATTTTTTTTTAGAAAGTTTCTGGAAACTTCCATTATAAAATAATAGATGACGCCACTAGTTTTTTAAAACGCGGTAATGAAATGTTCATGGAAATTACCTATCTAACGTGTGTCTCAGACATTTGTAACTCATTCATTCATCCATTAATCACTATTTTCATATAGGGTATCTTGGGGTATATTTTTTGTAGTTGCTTTTGAATTCCAGAAAGCGACCTAATAAACCTAACAATACTATCGGCACAAAATAGATAGTTTACAGAAGGTTCAGTTCACTCGGCCCTATTTCGGATTTTTGCGATTGGCACTTGTTACAATAGCCAGGGTTGCTACTATCAAAAATCCATACTATGTTTTTTATGGCATTTACCGTTTTTGAGTTATTACAAAAATACTAAATTTTGGCTAATAATAAAGGTTTGAAATGGCTGCCGTTCTTTTTTTTAAGTGGGCCAATGAGGCCCCGGTTCGGCATTGGTAAAGAATAGCCTAAAGATTAGTTATCAAAGCGGGGCCAAGCTGGAACACACGCAGGAAGTCTCACTTAGACGATCGTGCCTACTAAGTATCTAATCTGCCTATTTACCTCACATCTAAAAAACTGACACAATCGTACAAAATATTATGCTAAAGTTTTTTATTTCGGTGTGTAATATCGTCACAAATTTCTTATCCATACATTTTTTATCAGTCAATCAGGTGATCTGTAGGTTGTTAAAACTAAGGGCATTGATCTTTCTCATAAATACTCAACGTGTTTACTCAGACCATAAAATTGTACAGTTTATCGTGCTATGGTGTTCCATTCGATAAATCAATCTTCATTTCGCTAACCTATCAATCACAATTTACAGCGAAAGAATTCTCTGATCGGGAACGTGACGATGTGACAGTGACAAATATACCTTCAGTGATGGTGTACTTGCCCGTGTAATGCCGGCTTTGAGAGGCATCACCCCATTTCTACCCGGGCGTGCACACTGAGGCGACTTTGGCCAGCGACTTCTTGGAAGTCACTTTCACACATGAAAAGATAAGGACTTGTGTAGGCGAGCAACAAAGTCGCCTATGTGCGCGGCCTAAAGCGTAGTACAGTAGGCGTAGCACTTTTACTACGTTAGCCTTGCTACACCGTAGCCCTATGCTACCGCGTAGCCCTTCGTAACTTATTATGCTATCTACATAAACTTAAGATATTTTTTAAATTTTTTGTGTTGTCTCGCAGAAATTAAACCTCAGTCCTTCGAATGGTTAACCTAGAGGACAATACATACATATAAGTATATAATATCACGTATATCCCTTGCGGGGTAGGCAGAGCGTAAACGGCTGTAAAAATCGCTTATTTACACCACGTCTGACAAAAGTTTTAGAGTCATTCGGAAGACTGTGTATCACTATAGTAGTGGCTGGTTGACACCCACGTGATAGATATGGGGTGATGCTGTTCTAAGCCGGCACCACACGGCACCGGAGCCTAAAGGACAATACCGCTGTATATTCTCTTTCGTTATCGTATTTTGATTTCCATTGGATTAACCAACCAACGAGTTTACGTTTGCATTTCATTTTCGCAGAATACACGGCTCTGATTAACGTATTGTTTTAACAATTCGCATACATATCGTATTTTGTACAATATGTATGTACGTACGTACGGATGTGCTGGCATTTCTATACCTTAAGCCCTATACAAACTTGAGCTGAACCGGCGCGGTACGTGGGTACGCGGTATTCTACATACATACATACCTTACCTTAACCTTAACAGCTACAACAGTCCGCTGCTGGACATTGTATTGTCTATTATTGTATTGCCATACTCACCACGCTTGGCAGGCGGATTGGCGAGCGCAGTGCAAGATGTTTAATTCACAGGGAACGCTGCTGCCCATTCCCTGGATAATTATCGACTAAGGGATAATTATTATCCCTTAGTCGCTTTTTACGACACCCACGGGTAGAATTGGGTTGATGCTATTCTAGGCCGGCATCACACGGCATACATACATACATCACGCCTATATCCCTTGCGAGGTAGACAGAGTGTGAACAGCTGTAAATATGGCTATTTTGATTGGTACAAATTGTCAAGCAAATAAGTTCCGCTACCCACGTACTTACCAGATACCGCAGAATTAATAGCGCTATAGATTGAACAAAACGATTTGTACCCATAAGAATACCGCGCCGGTTTCGCTTAGGTTTGTAAGGGCTTTAGTTATAGAAGTGCCTACACATACTTACATGCAGATCTATCTAAAACCTAGACCCTAAAAGTACATTACTGCCGTGGCCATGGCCAATATTGTATGCTTTTGATTCCTCAAAGGAAAACTCTAGCTCAGTAGCCCATATACTTAGTACAGTAAATCAGTACGCTTCGCAAATTGCTTGTTGTTGTGACCACAGCGAAAAAATGGCTTCACTTGCGCTCAGCAGTGTGGAAACTTCATACAAACGCTCGAAACAGACGCGCGACGCCGCTTACAAGGAAACTGACCCAGTCTCACCCGAGCGAAATGTTCCCTGAATACTCGTGGGAAGAGAAAAAGGTGTTTTCCCATAGTAACAAGTAGCCTTTGTTACTCACAGAGATCATGCAGTTTAAAAATTGTGTTTTTACCCGACTGCCGAAGGAGGGTAATGTTTTTCGAGCGTATGTAGATATGTATGTATGTGGACAAGAAAATTCTTTTGCACGGGCTACAGCCCAAACGGATAGTTGGATTTTGACATAGGAGGTGTCGGTCGTTAGATTCTTCTGAGCAGCGCGAACGACACTGGCTATATTAAAAATACATTTTAAGATGGCGGATTTTTGTCGCAAAATAGAACAATAAAATTACTGCAGTCGGGTTTTTGTCATTTAATACTTCTGCTTGTTTTAAAGTTATTTTAATTTAATATTATTATAAATATAAAAAAGTGACAATTATTGCGATCCAACAGACCACTTCAGATTAAAGAAATATTAAAGTTTTTCAATTTGCGGTTGGTAACCATACAGCTGCAAACAAACGAGCAACAAAATTAACTTTGTAAAGATACTTAAACGTTGACTGACTACGAAACCCTATTTGTGAGCGTGTCTGACACGCTCTTGGCCGCTTTTTTACTGTAAAATTAATTACTTCGGAAGTTTCTGGAACCTTCCATTATTAAAAAATAGATGGCGCCACTAGGTTTTTCAAACGCGGTAATGAAATGTTCATGGAAATTACCTATCTAACGTGTGTCTCAGACATTTGTAACTCATCCATCCATCCATTCATCATTATGTTCATATAGGGTATTAATGGGGTATATTTTTAGGGTTTCGTAGTCTACTAGAAACCCTTATAGTTTCGTCATGTCTGTCTGTCTGTCTGTCTGTCTGTCTGTCTGTCTGTCTGTCTGTCTGTCTGTCTGTCTGTCTGTATGCCGCGCCCTCATATCTTCGTCAGTTTTAGAGCTATCGACATGAAATTTGGTGAGAAGATAGATCGTGTTGACTAAATATAGAAATGTTAAGAAAAATTATTTTAAATGTTTTTGGACCCCTCCCATACAAGTGAAAGGGGGCAAAATTTTTTTCTTCTGTAATATTGAGTAGGATATCGTTGAATAGGTCTTTAAAACTAAGATGAAGTTTTTTTGAAACAAAGTCACTAAAATGTTTCTGTCACGAGATATTTACTTTTAAAAAGGGCGTTTTTGACCCATTATTTGTTCCAGCTGTAACTTCTAAAGTATAAAAGCTAAAAATTTGAAATAAATATGGAACATAGCTTACAATCTGAAGTTACAATGAAAACTATAACGGATATTGTACCCTTAAAGGTTTCAGAAAAATTGAGTTTTTCTATTTGCGGTTGGTCATCATACTGTTAAACAAACCAGCAACAAATTAAGTTTGTAATGCTGAAAAACCTGATATTTAAACGTTGACTACGAAACCCTATTTGTGGGCGTGTCTGACACGCTCTTGGCCGGTTTTTTGTAGTTGCTTTTGAATTCCAGAAAGCGACCTAATAAACCTAACAACAATACATAACCTTAAACGCCACAACAGTCCACTGCTGGACATGGGCCTCCCCCGTATTGGGGGGTAACCTAACAATACTATTGGCACAAAATAGATAGGTAGTTTACACAAGGTTCAGTTCACTCGGCCCTATTTCGAATTTTTGCGATTGGCACTTGTTACAATAGCCAGGGTTGGTAATGTTCCTTGGGGAAAGTTGTTCCTTATCACTAGCCGGTTCTGAGTTTTCTAAATAGAAACTTGCTAAATCTTACACCATAGGCAGGATTTGAACCTGCGATGCGACCTTCGGCAACTGTACTGCCGACGCCACTTACAACTGGGCTACCGCGGTTCTATCCTAGCAAATTAAGCAAGCATATCTTGGCCACTAACACGTGGCAGGGCTCCATCTACGGGGATAGTTTTGCCAAATCCATTTGCAACATAATTTTGTATTCTAATAATAAGTAAATCGTGTTGCGCCGACCCCAACTGACTTGACATAAGGGCAGGAATATGTTGATAAACATATGTATCTGCTATACATCGTAAGCCATTTTCCTAACCAAACAGGAATAGGTTATGTTAGATTAGGGAAATATATTTATCTAATACCTTTAAACGAGCAAGAATATATGTATATCGGAATCTTGAAAACGGCTCCAACGGTTTTCACGAAATTTCGCAAAAGAAGCGATTTTCGGGAGTGATATTCGATCTAGATAGGTCTCATTTTCCAAAAATCGTTGCGGGACCCTTTTTTATTGCGTGTGACTTTTGTAAAGTAACAACGCAATCTGTTGAAAAACTAAGAAATTTCGGCCAACCAGGTATAGCAAATGAAAAAATCCTCTCGTGGGTTTACTCAGGCCATAAAATTGTATAATTTACCGTACTATGGTGTTCCATTCGATAAATCAATCTTCATTTCGCTAACCTATCAATCACAATTTGCAGCGAAAGAATTCTCTGATCGGGAGCGTGACAACGTGACAGTGACAAATATACCTCCAGTGATGGTGTACTTTCCCGTGTGATGCCGGCTTTGAAAGGCATCACCCCATTTCTACCCGGGCGTGCACACTGAGGTGACTTATCGGTAGTCACTTTCACACACGTGTAAAAGATCGAGAGTCCTTGTGTAGCCGAGCAACAAAGTCGCTTCTGTGTGCGCGGCCTAAAGCGTAGTATAGTAGGCGTAGCTTGGGCGTAGCACTTTTACTACGTTAACCTTGCTACATCGTAGCCCTATGCTACTGCGTAGCCCTTCGTTACTTACTATGCTAACTACATAAACTTAAAATATTGTTTGAAAACTTTTTGTGTCCCCACGCAACAATTGTACCTAAATCCTTCGAGTGGTTAACCTGGACAACAGTACATATAATCACGCCTATATCCCTTGCAGGTTAGGCAGAGCTTAAACAGCTTTAAAAAAATATCTCATTTACACCACGCCTGACAAAAGTTTTGGAGTCATTCACTGTGTAATACCATAGTGATAGGTTGACACCCACGGGAAAGATATGGGGTGATAGTATTCAAATAAGCATCACACGGCATGGTAACCTACAGGACAAACTGCTGTATATTCTTTTTCGTTATCGTATTTTGATTTCCATAGGATTAACCAACCATGGCAACGAGTTTTCGTTTGCATTTAATTTTCGCAGAACACACGGCATTCTGATTAACGTATTGTTTGAACAATTCGCATACGTATCGTATTTTGTACAATATGTATGTACCATAGTATGTATGTATGTATAATCTCTTTATTGTACCTTCATAAAACTATTACAGAAAACACACAATAAAACAATAACATGATATGGCACAAAGGCGGACTTATTCCATTAAGGGATCTCTTCCAGTCAACCCTTGAGAAACTATAACTACCATAGTATGTACGTACGTACACACAGCAAAGGAATAAGCTATACAGCGCTACTCCAAACGAATTGAAATTTTATAATCTCCAATAAAAATAAATCTGTAATGAAAATTAAATCTTGTAGAGGGAGTCATTTTGTACTAGAATCAATTTTAAGAATAATAATAATTTTAATTGAAATGAAAATATTTTCATTTGTTTCGACTACCCCTGTGTGGCTTTTTCATAATGTGACTATACGTATACGTACGGATGTGCTGGCATTTCTATACCTTAAGCCCTGTACAAACTTGAGCTGAATCAGCGCGGTAGTGGATACGCGGTATTCTACATACATACATCACGCTTATATCCCTTGCGAGGTAGGCAGAGTGTGATCGGCTGTAAAACCGGCTATTCTGGTACAAATTGTCAAGCAAATAAGTTCCGGTACTTGCCAGATACCGCAGAATAACGCTATACATTGAACAAAACGATTTGTACCAATCAGAATACCACGTACCCACGTACCGCGCAGGTTCTGCTTAGGTTTGTATAGGCACAGAATACATAATAGTACAGTAATAAATAAATCGTGCGGCAGACTCCTGCAGCCCACCTGGCTCCGCACGTATCGACCCGTCGTTCCTGTGGAGTCAGCCAGGATGGCCGAGAGGGTGGCGCAGGTCCTGGGCAGCCCTGCGTTTTCCATAATTGCGTCCCAGGCAACGCAGTGTCTGAGGTGAGCGTGCAAAAAGGCATGCCGCTCCCGTATCGGCTTATACAGCCATGAAAAATCTTAGACACTGAATAAATCGTCTGACACAGACGTATGAGGTCAATGATGATTAGTACAGTATAGCGCTTTAGTTATAGAAGTGCCAACACATACTTACATGCATGCATATCTATCTAAAACCTAGATCCTAATATAACTGCCGTGGCCATGGCCATTATTGTATGCTTTTGATTCCTCAAAGGAAAACTCTAGCTCAGTAGCCCATATACTTAGTACAGTAAATCAGCAAATTGCTTGTCGTTGTGGCCACAGCGAAAAAATGGCTTCACTTGCGCTCAGCAGTGTGGAAACTTCATACGAACGCTCGAAACAGACACGCGACGCCGCTTACAAGTCCGCGATTTTGACCCAGTCTCACCCGAGCGAAATGTTCCCCGAATGCTCGTGGGAAGGGAATAATGTGTTTTCCCATAGTAATAAATAGCCTTTGTTACTCACAGGAATAATGCAATTTAAAAATGATGAAAGGTTTATTAAAGTCATTTCAATTTAATATTTTAACATCCTGAATATGACAATCCTTGCGATCCAACAGAAACAGGTCGAGTTTCCTAACTGTTGCATCTGTAAACTGTGTTGTGACGTTGTATATTTTTTTGCTCTTATTTTTCTGCGCGGACTGAAGCCCTTGATTGCGCCCCCATTCCGTGCCTTTATTTGCCAACCGGCAGAGGCTGATTGATACGATTCAGTGTATTGAAATAGGCTCTACCGGGACTGGCTTAACGTGCCCTGCGAAGCACTGAGAACCATTTATTAGACGGTGGTCGTTAAAAAACCATGTCAGGGGTATACTTTGTAGTGTTAGGTGGTATAAATACTTTGTTATTAGGTTTAATATCTTATAACCGAAAGTGACAATCCTTGCGATTCAACAGAAACGGGTCGAGTTTCCTTACTGTTACATCTGAATACTGTGTTGTGACGTTGTATATTTTTTGCTCTTATTTTTCTGCGCGGACTGAAGCCCTTGATTGCGCCCTCATTCCGTGCCTTTATTTACCAACCGGCAGAGGCTGATTGATACGATTCAGTGTATTGAAATACAGGGAGTAACAACAGAAAGGGTATAACAAGCCGAAAGGAAGTCAGTGAGTACCTCATGAAACTTAACAACTTTCCCCATGGAACATGGGACGAGATATGAAAAGAAAATTTGGACCTTCCATACAAAATCTCCGATCAGCTAATTGATTTACTATGGGAGGTCCAAATATTTTTTTTCATATTTCGACCCATGTTCCATGGGGAAAGTTGTTCAGTTTCATAAGTACCTTGACCTCCTTTCGGCTTGTTAAACCCTTTCGTTACTCCCGGTAGACTTTAGCAACCGAAACTGGCTTAACGTGCCCTTCGAAGCACGGATCATCTATTTATTAGGCGGCGGTCGTTACAAAATCATGTCAGGGGCCTTATTTGTAGTGTAAGGCGGTATAAATAATTCGTCATCAAGTCGTTAGTTTGCTTCACGTCCCACAAAACTCAGAAACAGAGAATTGAATATATTCACAAATATTTTTATTACACTATACTATGCCTAGTTATACACTGTCTTCTGAATAACTTTCAAACTTTTATCAGACGTGGTGTAAATGACTGGTTTTACAGCCGCCGTTTACGCTCTGCCTATCCCGCAAGGGATATAGGCGTGATATATGTAAGTATGTATGTATGTCATCATCATCATCTTCCTGCCCTTATCCCAATTACTTGGGGTCGGCGCAACACGATTCGTTGAACACAAAATCGTGTTGCAAAAGGATTTGGCTGAATTTTATGACCGGCCGCCTACCAGACGTCAACCCTCCTTGGGAATGCTCTTGTGGTGGATTAACCGCCACCATACGGTTGGCCCTGGCTATTTGCGTCGGGTTTATCCCTCGGCCGCCTCTTACGACCCCCACGGGAAGAGAGGGGGTGATGCTATTCTTCTCTGCCGGCACCATGTAATGTATGTAAGGAGTTTTACATTCCCTTAGGGCCATAATAACTAGTGGGTATCTATGTGCTATGAGACTATTTGTTAAAATATTGGCAAAGAATGATTAGTATTCTATTAGTATAACCAGATAATCTCTTAGCAAAATTTTTAGGCTCTGGATTAAAATCCACGAAAATCTGCAGAGAAACCTGTCATATTTTATCCAATTTCCGTTTAACCTGAAACCGTTTTAGCATACATATAATTATAACTAACTAATTACCATAATAGGTAACATAATTACCTACCTACCTGATAGCCTTCGATTGGGTCCATCGCAACTAAAAACCGTTTCAAAGAGGATAAGTTTTTCATTAAAGATTTAATATCCAGCCAATTAGAAGTTCGTGGAAAGTGATTGACCTCTCCCCAAAGTTTTAATTATTCAATATTGTTGCTATTAGAGAAAATTAAATTGTTCCCTAATCTGTTCGTACAACAAGGAATGTTTTAAAGTTCAGAAACGCTGAATTATTTTGAGTTCAAGAATCTTGTAGTCCACTTTCTTTGTGGATAGGTTTTATTCATTCGGTCATATTATTATCATATGCGACACAAACGATGAACGCTTCATAACCCCAATAAATCTGGTGTAATCTTAAAGAGTCTTCTACAACACTAGAACATGTAATGAGACATATGTTTTTAGCCTCAATTGTAGTAACACAACAGCTCGTTAGCTTCACCCTAACACTAATA